CCCCATCAAGGAACACCATGCCCCCTCCCCACCGCCCACCTAGACCCGGGTTTACCTCCACAGAATAGGAGAGCTCAGCGCTCTGGTTCTTACTAACACGAGAGAAGAGGTCCTCGCAGAGCTGGAGAGGACACAGAAAAGCTGCTGTCCATGGTGCACCTGCGGCACCCAGCACCAGTCCAGGCCCTGTTGAATCCTAACTCAGCCCTGAAGGAGGGGTCATTCCTGTTTTACAGATGGGAAAGCAACCTCAAAGAGGTTCACACTTGCCCAGGGTCACAAGCTAGTATTTGGTGAGCCAGGAAGCAAACCCAGGCATCCTAACTCCAGAGCCCGTGTGCAAGGCCACTACACTGCACAGCCAGGGAGAATTATGACCAACTCTCAGTTATCCTCAACTGGCTTTTTCTATAGTCACCACCTTAACTACAGTATACCAATTTACAGGGAAAGTACACTCACAAGTGATTATGAAACAAGGTAAGTAAGTGGTAAGTGGCAGAACTAGGGTTCAAACCAGGGCTTCCGATGTCACAGTTTTGGCTCTCCTTACTGAGCCTTGTTGCTTCCAGTGGGGGTCCTGGATGTCCAGGTTGCAGCCAACCCCTGCCCCCCCATCACAATCCTTGTCACTAAGGGCCTCAGACAGCCAGTTCTCTGCTCTATAATCCTTAGGCCCCCTAGGGGCACCTGAAGATGCTCCTGCCCTTGTAGCCCTGCCAGGTCCCAGCATGTACCTGGGGCACAATGCCCTGCTGCCCTGGCTCCTGCCGCCCCATCATGGTGTAGGATTTCCCAGCCCCGGTCTGCCCATAGGCAAAGATGCACACGTTGTAGCCTTCAAAGGCGTGGAGCAGCATCTCTTCTCCAATGTCCCGATATACCTGTTGCTGAGATGCAAACTGGGGGTCCTCAGCCTAGGTGGGAAGGGAGTAGAGAAAGACAACAAGAGCCCTAGATGGCTTTGTCATTAGTGTCTAGGTCCCTGGAGGCTTGCCCCATCGCCAATAATTGCCCAGAGGTCCTGTGTGCTTCCCCACCCCCATTATAGTCCTAACCATCCCTGGGGGTCTTATCAATCTCCTGCCGGTCCTAATGATCCCACGGGATTCTGCCTCCCTCATCCTGGTCCCAGTCACAATCTAAGTGTCCTACCCACCCCAATCCCAACCCATCCCCCAGAGGTGGTATTTCCTTGCAATGCTCCCTCCCCAGGATCTAAATCCCCTATCCCTCATTGCTTAGCTCTCCCCCAGCCCAACCACCTCACCGAAGTGTGTGACCAGTAGGAGTAGTCGAAGGTGAAACTTTTGGGGCCATCCTTGCTCTGTTTGGGATTGATGATGGCTGAGGGGACAGGAGAGGGCAAAGGAAGACCAAGGTCAGGTACTCCCAACCTCTGTCCACTGCCCACAATCCCCAGAATCCAGGCATCCTACTACTCCCCTCCTCTGTACTAGTTCATCTCTCCCCTTTAATACTCCCCACCCCCTCCCGCACCAAAGCTAATTTTGGCTTCCTAGGACCCGCCCCCACCAGACTGCCTCCTTGGATTGGGCAATGGAGGGCTCCAGGCCAGCATTCCCCCTCCCAGGGACTAGGAGCATGGAAAGGCCAGCCTGCCCCAACCCCCACCCTTACAACTAGCACCTGCTCTGTGCTGGGCACAGCCCTACTCCGGGTTCGGCCCAGCAGGACTAGCCTGCGTGGTGAGCCTGGCCCACCCTGCCTGTGCCCAGCCAGGCCCCTGGGACTCACTCACAGGTGGTGCTGCCCTGCATGCTGACCACACACTTGGCATCCTGGCTAGTCTCACGGGCATTGAAGGGTCGAACCCTCACTGCCACTTTCACCGAGGCACCAGTCATGACTTCAGATACTTTCACCCTCCTCAGCTGGAGGACAGAGACACAAGAGGTGGTTAGAGCTGCTGGGGGGACCCAAATATTGCCTCACAGTTTCTCTAAGGAACCAGTCTTTCCACTCCCCCTCCAAGCAACCCAACCCCTCAAGAACCCAGTTCCTAGTTCCCTGGCCTTCCTCCCAAATGTCACTCTCCTCAGGGACTCCCAAAGGTGTTCCTAGCCATATCCCAGGTCGCAAAGTTACCTGTCGTCCTGGCCCCAGACCACGGGGGCTGTATCAGTTCTGGCTGCCACCGGCCCTCGTAGGAGGAGCCCCATCCTACACTTGGGGCCTGGCCACGCCAGCTGAGGCTGTGGGGGAAACCCTGGTTGTGGGGGAAGAGTGGTTAGGAGGCACCTGTGGCTCCAGAGATATGTTTGGGGTTGCATGATTAGAGGACAAGAGGTGGGGGATAATGTCAGGAAAAGTAAGAATGATGTCCCTCTGGAGTGGCCGAATGCAATGTGAATCCAAGGGCAGGGATGGTGATATTTTTATTCCTCGCCACTCACAAGCTTACCGAACGTCAGATAGAGAGGCTGGACAGAGGGCAATTCTGAGAAAGGGACTCATGGGCAGAGACACTGAGGGTGGTAGGAAAGGGGAAAAGGGGGGGCAGAAAGTCACAGACACCAAGAAAACAAGAGACACAAGAGAGAAAGTAAAATTGAGGTCATGCCATGAAGGAAATAATGGGAGGAAAAGGAAGGAGAGACACCGAGGCCAACAAACACAAAAATGAGAGAACAGAAAGGGAGGAGAACTCCAGGGGAAAAGCACAAACTGGGAGCCCAGAAGAGAAACAAGAGAGAAAATCCCAAACATAAAATCTACCCTAAAATTCCCACACGGGGTCAGCCAGGGAGAAGTAAAAACCAGCTCCCATCCAGGGCCCACAACCTCCACACAGAGGCAGGGATTGCCAACAGGCAAAGTCCAATGGCTGGAGATACAGCCAAGGACTGGGATCCACAGGGCCTGCCTGTGGCCCCAAACCCCTTGCCCAGCCCCCAGCACTTCCTCCTCAGGATCCAGGACAATAGGCAGGGGAGGGCGGGGTCATCCTGCATCCATCCCGGCCAGGGCTCCTCCGTGGAGGAAGCCAGAATACCTGGGTCTTTATGGGGAGAGGAGGGTAACTCTGGGATCTGTCTCCCTGAAAAGGGAGAGAAGGGAAAGGAAGCAGGCAGGTCCCATTCCCTGCCTGAGGCTAATGCTATGGCGTCCACTGCCCTGGGGAAGGAGCCAGGCTGGAGCCCAGGAATGTGGGTGATCGGGTGCCCACACCCTGGGAGGAGAGGCTGAGCAGCCTACGCCCACGGAGACAGGGTGGAGAGTTGAGAAGAGAGATCCGGGATGCTGGGGCCCCTTCTGAGGCCCTGAAGGACCCAAACCCGTCATGTTGGTTGGGTCTCACCTCACCAGCCTTGGAAGTGGGGGCGCGGAGTGAGAGGGCTGGTCTGTCCCAGGACAGGAAGGGAGTAGCTGAAATTGGAGGCTTTCTCAGGAAGAACAGCCCTGACCCCCAGACCCTGACTACACTGCTGGGGACACTCAATGGTGACGCCGTTGAGGCCAATGGGGCAGGGAACGGGGTGGCAAGGCTGGGAGACACCGGGGTAAAGGACTAGGGGACAGGTAGGTCAGCCGGAGCAGCATAAAGGAGCAATGTGGTACAGGGAGGAGCCGCGGCAGGGGAGGGGCCGACGCACCCGAACCCGGGCCTAGGGCCACCTGGACCCTGCCCGCCCGGCAGTTCCCACACAGGCCCCGGTCCCGGCCTTTCAGGGAGGCCGTGCGGACCCTGTCCTCCCGACGGCTGCCCGGGGCCTGGCACCTCTCTGCGCCTCCGCGGGACAAATAGCACATGATCCCAGCTCCCGCGGCCAACGGATCCCTGCCGGGTCGTGCAAACGCGGACCCCAGCTCCCCGCCCCTAACCCGACACATTCCTCCGCGGGCGTCCCCTCCCTCGCCCCCCTCCCCCAGCTCTCACTTCGTTGCGGCAGGGCTCCCGGAGCAGCTCGGCACAGTGCA